GTATCAGCTCTTCTGGTCAGAGAAACTGCGGGCAAGAGGACAAGGCCATGAGCCTTGGAGAAAGTTCTGAGGCTTTTAGCTGGTCATGTGTAGGTGTTGTAGGCTTAGGGGGTGGTGTGATATCTATGAGTGATTTCTAAAACACAGAAAATTTACATTCACTCTATGGGAGAAAAATGACATGTATTTATGGAATGTATTAGAAAGTTTCCTGGGTTTTTCTGTAACTGTAAAAGAGTTTTAAACTTTAGAGCCCGGCGTGGTAGCCTAGTGGCTAAAATTCTTGCCTTGCATGCACCGGCATCCCATGGGCACTGGTTTGTATCCCACCCAGCTGCTCCACTTGCCATCCATCAGCCTGCTTGAGGCCTGGGAAAGCAGTCAAGTAGAGAATGACCCAGAAGCAGCTCCTGGCTTCAGATAGTTCGGCTATAGTAATCACTTGTCAACCAGTGGATGGAAGATCTCTGTCTATCCTGTCTGTGTAAATCTGCCTTTCTAATAAAAATCTTTAAAATTAAACTTTAAAGTCCTATAAATCAGAGCATATCTAGGTTGGGGCTAAGGTAGCTGGGTACAGAGAACCCTATTTTTAAAGGCAGTACTTTTTCACGTATTCTGTGATGAATACGCTATCAGCGACACAGGATGAGAGTGGGATTGAGACCTCTGTCAAAAAGATGCCAAAGCATGGAGACTAGGGGAAAATAAAGATGCGCAGGTAGAAGGGCGGAGATGGGGGAAGAGAGGAGATGGTGGAGAAAAGCAGGTGAAGGTGAGGGAGGAGGGATAAGGGGAGGAGGCCAGGGAAATGAGATGACATTTGCTTAGCATTCCTTTGTCAGGCCCTGTGCTTTCACATGGATTACCTCGTTGACTCTCACTATGCGAATCTGTGGAACCTTTGTAAGCCTTAGTTTCTAGAAGAGAGGTTCGGAGAGTTCAATAACCTGCCTGAGAACAAGGAAGATGTGGAAGGAAGCCAGCAGTACTGTGTGCCCCCAGCATCCCTCATGAGAGGATGAACAAAGGAGGCAATGGAAAGCCGTTTGGACCAGTCTTTGATGTGCATGCACTGAGGCTGTAGCTTCAGGTATGACGGTGATCTGAAAGAAACTACATCTGGAAGAGTTACAGGCTTTCATAGGAAAAGCAACGTCTTAAAAGGATGGCCTCAGAAAATAAACCTTGTTTTATGATACAGGCTGTCTCCAGTGTGCTGGATAAGACCATGATCTTGATCTCCGTAGTCTTACCTCCACAAAGGAGCCTTTTATCACAATTGTAACCCTCTAACAAAATAGCTGTTTTGCTTTTCACATGCAAGCGATTTCTTCCTGTATAGGAGGAACTGACCAACTTGTGAGACTTCAAAAAGTATTCGCATATTTTCCCTTCTTCCAGAAAGTCCAAATGGAATAAAAAAGATGTGCATAGCAGGCACTCAATCCTTCGGGGCCAAAGCCATGAATGCTTGTTCAAAGCTCCCTTGGATAACACTGTTCTATCACTTTCATGGAAAGAATTCATTGGTGTATTAGGAGCTATGCAGAAACAATACTACAGAGACTTGCCTGACTTAGGGGACTTGACTTGAGCTGCTTCATCTTCCAATTGAACCAACTTCTCATTATGTAGGGGATGCTTGCATGACTTATTTTCTGGAACATGTGTGCTAGAGTCATTTGCAGCACAGCCCCTAGCTCAGTGGTTGCAGACACTTTTTGAATAAGCTCTTCCAGAAATTCATTTGGATTAAAATCAAGGGCTATCAATTTAGTGATTAATCCAGCTTCTCTCTTTTACAGTCAGACTCAGGAATCAGGACTTTCTTTTAAAATTTTTAAGTCCTAGTTACACAGAAGCATGTAGATAGTCCATCCACTGCTTTACTCCCCAGATGTTCACAACGGCCACAGATGGGTGAGATTGAAGCTGTGAGCTATGAGTTTCTTCCAGGTCTTCCACGTGGATAATTAGAGGCCCAAACACTTAGGTCATGTTCTATTCCTTTTCCTAAGACATCAGCAAGAAACTGGATTGGAAGTGGAGCAGCTGGATATGAACAGGTGCCCAAATGGGATTGTGGCATTGTAGATGCCATCATGTGGGTCCTAGGACTTTAATAGGACTTATTAAAGCCCTTTGTCTATAAATTAAGACTCAACTTTATACTTCTATAGATTTGAGATCAATATAGTACGGTCATTGGTGTGTTAAATAGCCCAGAAAGTTAATCAAATTATGTATTCTACCTTTTAAGTGTACATTCATCGCATCACTTTAATGCAGGCATTCTGGTAATTCTATACCCAAAGCACAGTCCTTCTGTAAAGTACTATCCTGTCAGACACTGAGTGCTTGATCTAATAGGGATAAACAACAAATTCAATTTGTAAATGTCTTTAATGAACAAAAATTTGGCCTCATTGAATTAATATAAAGTTTTATATAATCTGATTCTGTTTATTAGAACTACATGGAAGATTTTGTTCTGAAAATCATTTTAAGAAAATATACTTGACCCAGAAAACAGATACTTTGGTTGCATTTACATTTCTGTCTTGCTTTTTCAGTACAGGCTGGGTAGGGGAGGAACGTGTATCCAAAACCTTATCCCAGATGAGAACCATCTGAGATTTGCACAACAGTAATGCTTAGAAATTCAAACATCTAAGGGAACTAGGAATTTTCACTTCTTAGAATAACGTGCAATCTGCATAAACAAAATATTATCCTGGGCTTCTTGGATATGAAAGCGTTCTGTTTGTCAGACAAGAGAGTAGGAAGGTTAAGAATCGGGTGGATGTTCTCCATTTTGTCATGTGCCCATTCATTCTTGTCCATTACAACTCCACACATGTCGGACTTTGTTCCTATGCCAGGACCATCCAGAGAAAGCCACTGCTCGATAAAATGCAGGCATATTTCCAGTCATTTCACTGGAATGCCCCTCAAATCCAAAGCTCTTAACTAGTTTATCATGAATTTGTGTGTATTTAAAAATTTGTATTTAAAAACCACTTTACCCACTGAAATTTAAAAGGCAACAAGGACGGACTTGACCATGAAGGGAGGTTATTGTGATGTTAGATTTATCACTTAAAGTAACATGAATTGGGTAAGTTTCAAAAACGTGTGTCCTTGCTGCTTACTTGTGAAATAGGGATGATAATGATGAGTAACTGGGGCAACTGTCAGCATTACTGGATGATTATATGAAGAAGTGTAATATGCTCATTCTTAAACATCTGATATAGTCTGTACTCAAGAACCAGAATGCCGGCTCTTATGACCAGTGTCCATAATCAGAGTGCGAATTTGCCAGGTGGACATATTTGGATTAATATCCATTCATTCTCTGGGATGTTAAAATTACTACATTTATATATATGCCCATGAATCGGTTTTCCCTTGGAAGAAGGGAGAGACTGGATTTTGGCGATAGGACAGTAGTAGGGACTGTTTCTCCTAAGTAGGGATGTGTCTCCTAAGTATTTACAGTGGCTTTTCTTGCTGATCTAGCCAGTTTTCGGGTGCAAGATTTCCACAGTATCAGAAGGCATGGTCACTTTTATGTTTCTAGTAATACGTTTATTCTTTGGAGTGAACTTCAGAATGTGAACTCGCTAACTGTTCTAGGAAAGTCTCACACAACTGGGCTCTATTGTAAAATCAAATTCAAGTGAAGGTGTTTAACTCATTGCCAAAGCCAGCATCTGGACTGCCCCGTGATGTGAGATGCAGGGAGTGCTACAGATCCAGACTGGGTCAACCTCCTAGTTGTGTGACCTTTGGAGATTTTTTTGTTCGGTCATATCTACATGAAAGCAACTGTACAGCATGGCGGGCAGCATAATAGCATGGATGGCAACACTGCATACAAAGGATCAAGTTGTGACCCAAGGCGAGATAATTTCCCTGCCATCAGTCACAATTCAAAAATCTTGGAAAGGCTCGCTGGTCACAACTTCTCCAAAAATGTTGGAAGGATACAGCCAACAGTTTGAGCTCAGTGTGTCTCAAGGTAGGTGTGATCTTAGAATACCATAACTTGAGCAACCAGGATATGAAGACTGGAGGAGAGACACTTCTGCAGGCACAGCAGCAGCAGCATTAATAGGGTCATTGTTGGTCAGCAGAGACTGGAAGGAATCCTCTTTACCACTATGCCAAAGCTCATGTAGTTGGCACTCAGCCTGTGTTTTTATTTCATTAATAAAATATGACTAATTTTTTTTATTCCAGGAGGATGAGGATACATTGGTTGCAAACTGCATGCAGCTAAAGGGGAAGGGTTCCTTTTGAAACTACATCCTCTTAATTTTACCTACTATACGTAACAGTAGTGCATTTCTTGTTAAAACAGCAAGCTTTTTTTCCAAAATGAAAACATTCATTTCTTTATAAATATTTTAAATACATATTCCATACCAAGGATATAAAAATAGCCTCTTTTTGATAAATAAAGACATTTTTCATTTACATGGCAAATAACGTGCGAACAGCTAAGCACTGGTCACCAGAGCTATTGAATTGATTGTCTGAGATGACATGCCGTAATAATGGTCCGTTTGCCTGCTCCAACAGGAAAGCAGATGTGCAGGAGCTATGCACTCCCGAGGCCAACAGTGCTGTGGGCATTGTTCAGGAATGACAAGCAGGCACTCAAGGAAAAAACCTTTGTTGCACTTCACAAAAGCCACCCAGGACACCACTAGTGCAGATTGTCTGTGGCTTCCAGCCGTTCAGACCCTTGGGGTCTTTGGGCCTTTACCGAAGTCTGTCAAACAGACCAGTAAGTTAACACCTGAACATAAGTAGGTTTCTATTGTACTTCTAGGATCTAGAAATTGCTTGCTACGGTAAGGGTGTGGTTGTGCCTTTCCCTGGTTCCCTCGCCTCTCTTCTGCAGAGTTCTGACTTTGCTCAGTCCTCGATGCCTACCAAAGCAATCATGCAGTGGAGGGTTTGAACTTGGGAGCTTGTGTGTTCTGGTATCATACGTTCATGGCTTTATTTTTCGCTTCTGCTGTGCTTGTAACGACTTCCACGGGAAAGTTCTCCAAGGGTTTGGTAGAGATGGATGCCATTCCTTCTCGGTCCCAGGATCTTGGTAAGTTTTCCAGACTGAGGGAGCCAACAACTCCCTGACCAAAACTGCCTTCCTCTGATGTGCTTGGGAGGACCAGCTGCAAGGACGTTTGTGAAGAAGAGCAGACAGAGGATGAGAGAGTGGCCGAAATGGACTGCAGGGGCGTCAGTGTTGTGTCTGAATGTGGAGAGAGGCACCTTAAAAATTGCAAATGACCTTCTTGCACAACCTGGTAGTGGGAAGGTGAATACTCAAGGTTTGGAGAATGACAGAGTTCACTGTCTGCAGGGTTTGGTCCATGAGCTCCAGTTTGTTGGGGGCTGCTTCCCAAAGAGGGTTCCACACTCCAAATGTCTGAGGTGACATTGCCACCGCAAAGTTGTGCTTGGGGATAAGCAGCTCCAGCTGCTTGCAAGTGCAGACAAGGCTGGTGTGCGCTCCAGCTCATCCTGGTCTGCAAGCTCTCCCTGGAGGGGCACACAGTGGTGGCGTGTAGAGAGCAACGCTGGGATGGTGGCTGGGGTGACAGAACATTTTCCAGAAGTTGCATCACATTCTTCATATCTTTGCCTAACTGGGAGACTTCCTGAGTCAATGTTGTTACCTGTGTGGATGAAGCAAAGCAAAAAGCCATAGTTAATGCCGATCGGGAATGCTAGATTTCAGAGCAGGAAACTAAAGTAAGATACTGTAAGTAACTCCCAAAAAGGTGTTCCAACTCCAAATATGGCCTGGGACTTTAATGAGCAGTTTTGGAATCCTTTCATGCACTTAAAGGCATAGGTCCGTTTTCACTTCCTCTGAGGGGACAGGATTCACAGCTGTGCATGGAAGTCACTAGCCACCTTGAAACAGTGAGGAGTGGAAGATACTCTATGTAAAGTCCTCAGCCTGTGGGTATCACTGTCTTCGTGTGAACACTTAGTGCATGACAGTTCTTCTTCTGTCCTTTTCTGATAGAGGAACATGCTTTATCAGGTTAGAGACAAAGTGGCCTTCAGGGATGGTGTGGGTGCTAAACAATCACACCAGATTGGTTGTGTAGAATTTATTTTCCTAACAGTCACATGAGGCTTTGAACATGGAAAGCTTCCAGAAGACTGAATTTTGGCTAAAACCTAGCTTTTCTGAAATCTTTGGATTCATCAAAATGAGGAAAATTTATGTCAGAAGGCAGGAAACACGTTTTTAAGTCTTTTGCTACTTTCACAACACAATGTTGTAATGTTTTTCCTTCATTGCAATAACATTTTGTGTTAAGTTTTTTTTTTTTTGAAAGGCAGGCAGGGAGAGAGAAGAGACAGATTCCATCTGCTTGTCAACTCTTCAGGTGACAACTGGGCAGGTACAACTGGGTTTGGGCCCAGGCAAAGCCAGGAGCCCAGAAATCAATCCTGGTTTTTACATGGGTGGCATGTGCCCAAATACTTGGGCCATATTGTGCTGTCTTCCCAGAAAAATTCGTGGGCTGTTCAGAATAGTGGAATAGTTTGGACTTGAAGCAGATTACTGATAGGAGATTCTGGTGTAACAAGCAATGGCTTAACTCGCTGTACTGCAGTGTTGGCACCCAAATTTTGGATTTTCTAAAGGACATTTTATGACTTTATTTTTCTTTCAAGAACCACAAAACTCCAAGCAGAAGGTGCTGTATCTATTGGTGAAATACCACAATCATAGAAGAGCAGTGGGCTTGGGCCAGTATTCTGGACTAGTGGGTAAAGTTGCCATGTATGGGGTCCAGGCCTTGGGGTTGGGGGCGGCTTGCAGCTCCCTGCAGTGTGGAGGCTTTGGGGGTGCCCCTGTTGGGCTGGATCCAATGCTGGGGACTCAGGCCAAAGCCACTGCCAGGAGGCAGTGACTGAGTCCTTAGATTTCTCCAGGCCCAAGAGATCTTCCCCTCAGGGGCTCTTACCCCAACTGGTCTTGATGAGGCAGGGATACTACGGCATAGCATCAAAGGCAAAGGCTGAGACAGCCCCTACAGCTGAGCACAAGACCCGCTATATGGAGCAACCCAGACCAGGCCAGAGGAAGATACCCACCATCCTACATATGGCATAGGAGGGGGGCAGACATAGTGAATCTAAGATTCAGTGTGATTTGAAGTTTTCACTACAGGTTGTCAATTTCATTACTTGCCAAGTCTCAATTCTAAAATGTAAGGGTCACGCTTGTGTCAGTAGCACAGCATCTTTGTCTCGCAGACACTCCTAAGGTTTCCCTCTTCAATTATTGGTGGTTCTATCAAAATTTCAGAAGTGAAATCTTCCACTAAGTGGAGTTGATTGAAAAGACATAGGTACAATTAGTTCGTTTGTCCATGCTTAATTCCTATAACAAACTGACCAGGGCTGCAGTAAGTCAACCCTCAACAAGATGCTTTCATTTCATCTTTTAGTGAGGACGGAATCAAGACCGTCTGACAGACGATTTCGAATTTTAGGCACACTAAGAATTATGTTACCCAAAAAATGTTTGAGTACCATGATGCGTTTCCTGTTTGGATCTACAAACAGTGTTAAGATAGGCGGGAGTACATTATTATTTCCCAACTTGGAAAATGAGGACAAGCCCAAATGGGAAATGACTTTTTTAACGTCACTTATTTCATGAATGACAGTCCTTAGTTTAGAATTTAGGGCTTTCTAAATTTGATTCTCCTTCTGTTAAGGAGACACTACTCAAGAGAGTGGGTAGATATTCTGTAATGTGGTTAGAATTGGTCAAGAGTGCAATGCCACAAAGCTGTAGAAGCTGTGGTGGTCTGCAAACAGGAAGTAAACAGTGGCTTAAGTACAATAAAATCTTGTTTCTTCAAATTAAAAATTGCCACAGGGTAAAAAGTGGAACCACAGACCTGTAAACAGTCCCAATGAACTATTTTTAGCTTTGAAAATAAACATTTTCATGGCAATCATTTTGACATCTAACTTTTATTGTGCATTTGCCATAGCTTTCAGGCCTGAAATTTTGAGAATCCAGGAATGTAAGCAAGCGTGAACATTTCCTGTGAACAAATTACTACCCTAGTTTAAAAGTAGCAAAGAACTCAAACTAGGCTTTCTTTAGCTCTGGGGGCTAAGATTCAAGTTAAGAAAGACTTGTGTCAGAATGGCTGTGAGGACACACCCCTGGCCTCATTACCGTTACAGGATGGAATTAATCCATGTTAGTCAAGGAGAACTGTTCCCCTTACAAGGACAAAGCCAGCTGTCACCAGGAGAGATGGCATCTCCTGGAGGTGGAGACATTGTGGCACTGAAGGAGACAAAGTGTTAGAGAATGCAGTAAAAATTTCCAGCACTTTGTTTACTGCTGCTTGCCAGGCTGCCAACAAAACCCATTCTAAAACGGGAAAGAATTTAGAGGTAATCAAATGTAAGCTGCACTGAACGAATGCAGTGTCTCTACTTTGGGGGGGTGGAGAGTTGAAAGGCTTGTCCCTGTTGTCTGCTGTAAGAAGATAGGCTCCTGCTAAAAAGGTTGCTGGGAAGATCTGATGAGTAACTGTCCACTTAGCTAAACACCTTCAAAATACAACCTGGAACTAGAGTGCTGCCCAATCAATACAAACCAAATGATGAAATGAAAACAAATTCCTCAAGTAAATGCTCCTGGTACTCAAATTAGTACTCAAATTAGAGAAAACAAGCTCTTTCTGAGGTATCAAAAGATCTCCCACAAGCTCTTTCTCATTTTTGAAAATGTTACTTCCATTTGTTTGGGATATATCCCAAATACCTTATGAGAGGGAGGGAGGGGCGGGGAGTGGGGGGAAGTAGCTCCTTTGTCCCCTAGGTCCCAAATGGCTGCAGTATCTGGTGCTGCACCAGGACCAAGTAGAGAACAAAGCCAGGAAATTTGAACATCGTCTCATCTCCCTCATGCAGGGAGCTAAGCACTATAGCCATCATTTGCTGCTTTCCCAGGTGCACTAGCTGAAAGATGTATTGGAAACAAGAGCTGGAACTTGAAACTGCACTCAGACCTGATGAGCGCATCCCAGGTAGTGGTTTAACATTGCATTCCAGACTTGTTCCTATTCCCTTCCCCCCTTTGTTTTAAAGGATTCTGTGTTCTACATTTCCTCCTTGCACACCAATAGAATGAAAACAGTGAGATGTGATTTACTGCTCTGGACCTCTCTATTGCTGGCTCTTTATTCCTGCTCCTTTCCACCCAGTAAGCTGCTCTCTCCAAGGTTCTACTCATTGATTTCCTCAGCAAAGCTTTTGGTTTCTTTTGCATTAAAATTCACAGACCAGTTTTACCTTTCACTTGTATCACACAAGATTGTTCTCAACTGGGGCAATGTGTATTGAGGAAGGAGCTTTTATTTCACTATTTCATGGACGCAGGTTAACATTCATCCTCCATCTTGGATGCAGACATGAATGCAAGGCTTGCCATTTTGGAAACATGTTTTGGTTTACATATTACCTTCAACTTTTACTTATACACAAATATCTTGGGCAGGCAAAACTTTCTGCTATAAAATGTTGGAAAATCTGTATCTGGACTTCTTTATTTCAAGTATAGGTAACAGTTCTATGGCTGTCAGTGTTATTACAATTCAATTTTTTAAACTGACATCTTAAAAATCGCCTTGTTTTCAGCAACAGGTACCATTTCCACTATGAAGAATCCCCGTTTATTCTATTTGCTTTACAATTGTAGACATGGCCTCTATTGGCCAAGCCTTCTGTGATCCTTCCCTTTTGGCTTTATCATTTGTAAACTTTATGGGTAGATACAATACACTAGGAAATTTCCCCTATTCCAGATTCCAAGGGCTCATTATGAATGCTATATGTGTTTACAATTTGTCAAACTTCTTGCATTCTGGTTGTTACTCTGGGTGAATGCTTTACCTGTGGCATACTCATAAAGATAGATTAATAAGAAAAGGATTATTGTATGTTTTCTTATTAATCTCCTTTATTTTTTCTCATTCTCCCTTGCTTCATCTCCTGCATATTCATTTATGGATAAAAATCCACCAGTCTGAAATTTAAAACTGTTGGCAAAACTTGTTCACCATCACCATCTGCATAACCAATTGTTCACATCCAAGATTTCTCTACACTTCCCAAAGTTCCAACTGTGAGAAAAACATAGTGATGAAAACAACATTTGTGTTTCCAAGTGGTTCAGTTTTCTACCCTAAAATTTGGAGCATCTAAAGATTCTTCTCTCTTCCATTCAAAAATATCATTACATTAGCAAGTTTAATGTGGCGTATTTGGCATCAATCTCCATAAGGATGGAGCCACCTGTCAGATCATGAACTTGCCAACTGACCATAATAAACAATGCACTGACCTTTCCATGTTTCTAAAAAGGGAATCGACAACTTACACATTTTTTAAAAATTTCTGCCACATCCAAGTTAACTATAAAATTGCTATTGCTCTCCTAATTCCAGAGGTCAGATTGGAGCCCGTCATATTTGAGCTCTATTGATGTAATGCTATTTCTCATCCTTCATATCATATTGCTGTGAGAAATAAATAATACGATGTTTTTAAATGTTACTACCATGTAACTGGTATTTTCAAAATCCCAGGTGAGTGGAATTGATAATACCCTAGAGGCATTAAG